CCAATAACACCGCCACCCCCTTCCCCCAAACTGCCACGCCATGCCTGCCTCCAACACGCGTTACGCCCCGCACCCCACCCTTCGCCCTGCGAGCGACCCCGCGCAATCCTCAACCCCAGCTCCACCATCCTGATGCCACAGCCAGAAGCCCAGCTTCATCCACAACCGCCTTCTCCCCGGCACCCATCCGGCCCTAATCCGGATTGAGGTTTTCCCCTAGTTCGGATCGGCGTCGCAAGCCAACACCAGCCCCAGCGCCCCTACCCCACCACCAGAAAACTGAATTCCAAGCATTCTGACCACCGCCCTGCCCCCACCTTGGCCTCTTTGAACCAGCTGGCCGGCACGTGTAGGGTGTTGGGGTCGTAATCAGGGTCCGAGGGGCGCCGCCCCCTGGCATCCTTGATGCTGCGGCCAGTCAGTTGATGAGGGGTGGCAGGGGCGGAGGGCAGGGGAGGGGAGCGGAGTACAACGGTTGGCGACGCGTCATGGTTTGGTGCACTGATGATGCACACCTCAGGTGCACAGCAGTAGTGCGTGCAGCATAGACGGCACGACAGCCATAAACTACACAGCCGGCGGGTCAACTTGGACTCCTGCGGTGCAGATATTTGCGGTGTGAAAATCACGGTCCCCAGTCACGCTTTCACACCGGTTTGGGTGTAGGAAAGGGAACTTCTCGGCCATCTTCGCCGCGAACCGCGCGGCCTCGCCGCCGCGCTCCGCCGTCACGCCGAGCACCACGTCCGCAGCCGGCCCCGCCTCTGCGCCGCTGCCTGCGGAAATTGAGAGTTGAGGTGCGGCAGCGCGGGTCGGGTTTGGTGGACGGTTGAGAGGGGTGTGGTGTGATGAAAGGGTGGAAAAAGCGCGTGCCACACTGGACGTGTCGACTTTGTAGTCGTGTGTGAGCATGAGGGAGTGATGAATTGGGGAGGATGACTGAACACGCGCCAATGTGGAAGCGGCCGAACGGGGGTGGGTGGAATGAAGGGGTGGGCTGGGGCCAAACGGGGTGGTCAAGAAAGCGAGGCATATTCGATTGCGTGGATGCCGCTGCACCCGCAGCACGGCTATGGCAAAGGTGAAGAGGCCCCTCATTCCCCCTCACACCCACCCACACACTCTCACACATGAAAAACAATCAAGGTCGTTCCCGCGCCGCACCCTGGCTGGCGCCTGGCGTGCCCTCGAGCCGCGCCCCCAGCCCCTTGCTGCCCGGCGTCCGGCTGCCGCCCCTGCTGCCCACTGGCGTCGCCGCCGGCGCCGGCGTGGACGGCTCCCCTTCCCCTCTGCCGCCGCCGCCCTTGCCGCACACAAACGGCGTCGCAGCGCCGAACGCGCCAGGGGTGCCCGCCGCGGCGGCGGGCGAGGGGGCGGCGTCGGAGCGGGGGCGCTGCTTGGTGGCTGTCATGGGGGTGCGGCCGGCGGAGCCGGGGGTTGCGGCGCCGGGGCCGCGCTTGCGAGGCGCTGCAGAGGCCTGCAGTGCGAGGGTGAAACAGCAAAGGGGGTGTCAGTGCGACGCAAGCCGCCGCGCCTGGCGCCGGTTGCCTGGTGAGGTCGGCGATTTTGGGTGCTAGCTCAGGCCGCATGGGGGCAACTGCCGGGTCCTTGCCGCCCAAGCCTCAAGGCTGGCAGCCCAAGAGAGCCCTGATACCTTGCCCTTGGAGCCCCCGCGTTTGCGCTTGCCGCTGGCGCCGGCGCCGCCGTCCTCGTCAGCGTCGCTGCCCGCTCCGTCCTCGTCAGCGCCGTCCTCGTCAGCGCCCCCCTCCTCCTCCTCCAGGTCCTCCATGGCCTCGTCCTCGTCGTCGCTCTCGGCTGGATAGCATGTGTGGAGGTGATGAGATGTATATGGTGCGTGCGTTGGCGGGGTTGAGACATCGCAGGCAACGGCAGGCTGGGGTCGAGCGGAGTCAGCAGTGGCACGGCAGGGCCCCTAGCGCTGTATTCTATGATGGGCGCGCATCAGCCGACGTACGCCGCGAGGCGCCACCAGCGACCGCGGCGCGAGCAGCGGCGGCGGCAGCGAGGCGGGTGCGGCGGCGGCGCCGCCCACCCTTGTACTCGCTCCCGCTGTCGCCGCCCGCGTCATCGTCCTCCTCCTCCTCCTCCTCCTCGTCGTCGTCCGACACCACCACGTGGCGCCGCTTGGCCGCGGCGCGCTTGGCGGCCGCGGAGCCTGAAGCCC